CTTCGAGAAATTACTTCGGTACATCTGTCACCAGAATAGCTACAGCGTAAAGCATCCAGACTTGAATTATTGGGGAGGTGACAAGTACAACATCGATGGTCATTGTGTCGAACCACACAATGGAAACATCGAAATCAGAATCGATGATGTAGCCTTTGATCAGTACGAAATCGACGAGTTCATGATAGGATATAAGAAGGTAAACAAGACTGTCAAGACCAACAACAAGATCCATGTGCGATTGTCTCCAAAGTGAATTGGCCGGATTGCCTTTCACTTTGGCCTTGATTCCACCGCTTACAGTTCAACCACGCTCACCCTCAATTGTTGGAAGTAATGTGTGATCGTGGTGTCGCCACTACCAACCACTTCGATCGTCAATGGATTCGTCTTTGTCGGTGTAATCACGGACGAACCACTCGCAATTGTGGTAGGTACAGGATTGTTCAATGGAATGTTGATAATACGTGCCGTGTCTGTACCGATTACTAGGTTCGGCATGCTTGTGAATCCCATCAGCACTTGTTCATAGTTCGAACACCAAATTACCGCATCAATCGTGATCAAGTAGGATGTACCGGCTTTCAACGTGATTGCTTCTGTTCGATTTGTACCAGCCGTGTGAGTGATTCGGATACGATTTCATGACCACTCGTCAAGGTATATTCGAATGTCTTACTCAACTTGGTGTCCGGTGGAACGAAGGACGGTACACCACCATTCACTCCCAACATGTACTTGCCACTACTCGTCTGGATCGCCAATTTGCTCACTTCATTGCCATTATTGTACACAAGGCAATGTTCCTCGCTCATGCAACCTAGGATGTCTTTGTAGATTACCGAAGGAGTGAGATTGGTAATGACTGGCGAGGTACTGCTATTCTCGATCTTGAACGTAGCATAACCTGTCGTGGTCGGAAGTGGTAATCCATATGCTTGATCATCCCAATATGTCACGATCTTCTGTGCATCGGTTTCAATTCCCAGGATATCATGGAAGAGACTCTTGGCATTGATTGTGGCGAAGTCATAATTGTTACTCGAATCTGTATGAAAGAAGAATGATCCGCTCTTGTTCGGCAATACAGGGTCCTTATGATTGCTCGCGGTCGAATTCCAGTTTGCAATCGCATACCTGTCGGACGTGTTGTCGTAGCCCATTGTTCCGAATATCAATGACTCATCGAAGACTTCTAAGGAAGGCGTAGTGCCATCCGTTGTGAGAATATAGGTTCCGCTGGACGGCAAATCGATTCCTCCAAAGGTCGTATTGGTCTTGAAGAATGGAATGGTTCCTTGCGTACCGACGGTCAATGTCTGTCCATCCGATCTCTTGAAAAACGTGTTATCGATAGAAGTGAGTTCGGCTCTTTCTTCGGACCATGTGAGCTCGTTGCCGGTCTTGGTGAGCACGTAGTTGCCATTGGTCGACGGAAATGCGAACGTGTCGAAAGAGTTGTCCGAGTAGTACTGGATACCCTCAGTCATCTCCTTGCGCTTGAACACTCCGTTCTGGAGATATACAAGTTTCTCAGGTTGTGTTGGTGTTGCCATTTACTATGGCAGAGAAAAAATTATTCCCTACAATAAATGGCTACTACAATTCCTCCTGTGCATAACTACGAATCGCAGATTGTGTTCAGCAATCAGTCCAATAACATCAAATCGACCGATGTGATCAATTGGACGATCGCTCCATCCGGTGATGACGTGTACTTCAATCTCTACAAGTCACGAATGACCTTCAAGCTCAAGATCACCGGATTGGCAAATAACGCAACAGGTTCACCCAAGGTATTTTATGTTCCGGTGAAGAAGAACATGTCAGGCATTGTGAACAACACGAAGGTCACGTACACCTATTGGAATGGTGAGAACCTGGCGTCCTTGCCTCTGAGTGCAGACAATGAGAACATCGGTCAGATCCGGTCACTCTTGAATGCACTCACGGACAACAAGCACAACAATGTGGTGAATGAAGGACTGAAGGAACTGTCCTACATCTACTACGATGCATTGGACTACGATACAACCGATAAAACCGCACGAACTGCGGCCATCCTGGGTCGACCTTATGGCGGGAAGTTATTCTACAACATGCTCAAGTTCGTACAGCCCAACAATTCGACCACGGCGTACACGACGATCAATGTGAACTTTGCAGACATCTTCGAAGGTTGTTCTCAGGAACGATTCATCAATCTCACGCAAATGGATGCTCAGATCTATCCAACGAACGACGATGCATACTTCTACATCGATGCTGGCAAAATCAATACCGCTACAAGTCCGGACGCTGTTCCATCAGCCACGGCTTTCACCGGTGTGTACTTCGACACATGCACGCTTTGGTATCACAGTTACAAGACGAGCGATGATTCGACCTTCGATCCTGAGGACACTCAGTTGGTGAAGAACCAGATCATGACCAAGACGTTCCGTATTCCTTCTGGCCAGAACTTCATCGATGATCGTGTGCTGGTCAACTTCCCCGTCAAGATGATGTTCATGATGTTCACGGACGACAATGGCGATTTCTCGACACTCAAGGACATTCGATTCAAACGTATCTAATTGAACATCGCTGGTGAACAGAAGCGTATCATCAATGTGGACAACACGAACACACCTGATGGAATTGATCACACGTTCTTCGAATGGATGGACTATCTTTGCAATAGTCGTTCCGACGAGTACGACACGCTGTTGACGTACAAGACGTGGTTGAATCAGTTCCGAATCTTCGCCTTCCCGTTGGCCGAGTGGTTCCCGATGCGCACATCGAATCAGATCCAATTCGAAATCGAGTTGGAAGAGGATGTTGCAGCGACGACCCAGATGCACTTCATCATGATCCGTGCTAATACTGTGAGCGCGTAATGCATTCTGATATGGGTGATTTATAGAATTCAACAAGTAAATATAAATAGATATGAGCAACAAGATTCAGGTTTTCGATCTTTCCGATGCTTCCGTGATTTCCCTCACTTTGACTAGATTCAACAAGAAGAATGATATGGCCAAGTATGTCTGCAAGATCACCGATGCTTCCATGGTGTTCATCGGATACAATGCAACGTACAAAAGAGATAAGAAGAAACTGACGAACACTCTCGTCATCGTACTAACCAGTGAGAACAGGGAATTCCTGAAGGAAAATAAAAATGGCAATATCGCCGAGTTCTCGTACACAACTCTCACAGCAACGCAAATCAAAATCAAGGATAAGAATAGTGTCTTCCATTGCAATTTCTTGTAAAGAGAACCTCGTTTTCCCTTTCACTATGGATTTAGGGATAAATGGAAGATTCCCCCTACATTCCTAACATTGATACAACATTGCTCGCCATTAAGAATCGAATAGGACGATTCAACCATCGATGTCCCTACAACAACAAACGATTGACAAGAAGAACAGAGAATACGCTCAATCAAGCCGAAGTAATGCAGGATACCATCAAACAACGGATAGAGAATGAAACCGATGAAGAGAAGAGCAAGCAATATGCCAAAATACTGCGAGAACTAGCCGTTCGCCAACACTACTATTTGGTTGCACGAAGTACTCAGGAAGTATTGCCATGGATTGTCCAATCCTTTCACCAGCACACTCGATTCGAATCCGAGAATCGATTGGATCTCGGGAGCACGTGTGAAATCGATCGTGTAGAAGTGAGTCACTGTGATATGAAGCTCATTCTCGCCGCTATACACCAATTCGAACAGGGCATCACTCGCATTCAGCATTGAAATGATCGTTTCGATGTCGTAGGCTCCTCTGGATATTAACACCTCGTGTGGGGATTTCCCCGCATCGATTAATATCACTTGATCGGTTGGGACGTTGTGAAACACGAAATCGGTATAGAGTGACACAGACGATATGGAACACTGATTGAATGACAGAGGATTGTCCAGTTTCACTTCCTTCTTCGTAGTATTACCGAACACTTCGATCATGGAGAACTAGTTCATCGGTAGAATTGAGGAAGGCACTCGATCAATCACATCTTCGATCGTCAACTGGAGTTCGAATTCGCCGTTCAATCGCATGATATTACCATCCATATCGCGGAACACGAACATCAATCGGTCGAATCGGGTTATCATCGGAATGCAGATGTCTTCCACGGTGCGGAGATAATTGACCTCGGGATCGTCAATGATCATTGTGGTGAGCAGGTTGTTGTTCTGGTTGGCAATCTTCAGATCGGAGGAACGCACGAGGGACGAGTACGATTGGATCACTTGTCGATTTCGCGTGATATCAATCACATTCGATCCATAGAACGAAGCGGGTAGAATGACCATTTGTCCTTCTAAACCGAGGATTTCTCGAATATCTAGAGCATTGGTGAAATCGATAGTGTGTGGGTACTGGATATAAATACACCCATAACTCGAAGCTCTCGTAAATATCGAGAATGTAGTATCGGTCATGGTGTTGAGCATGGCAATGATTTGACCGATCGTATAGTATCCAGGAGGAATCATTAGCTCCTCGTCATTCGAGTTGGTGACCACATTCGTAGAATCCACATTGTTGAACATGACTTGATTGGGTGTGAAGAGGACAGTCATGAAAGTGATGTTAGAATCCTTGAACTTGTATGAATTGACCCAGGTGAACGTGCTATTACAAAATGAGCCTTGGATGAACATGGAGTAGTGTGGATGAATCGAAGGTGCACCGTGCATTTTTTTTGCCATAAACATCGGGGTGAACAGTAGTGTGATTTTAATGCAATATAACATAAAACCCTTCATATAGCTATCCACTGATAACAGGAAAGTGAGACGAAAAGTGAGGACTCACGGGTGAGCATCGGAGGAACTCCCGGCCGATGGGAGGGTTTCATAAAATCACCCCGTGAGTAAGGCGTAAAAATCGGTGACCATGGTGTACGCTACTTTCGCCATATACTTACTACTAAGAACCATGTTTGTTTTGCTTGACTCATATTATGTGGAAAGGAAAGAAAATAGAATACTTTTATTATGTTATTAGTTAACAAACAAGTCTATTGGAATTGTTCTCTTTTGTATTATCGCAGAAATATCATTTCAGATATCCTTTAAATGAACGTGAAGAGATATTGGGTGAGAAGGGAGTTCTGAATGGTCTCAAGAAGGGCGGAATCTTCGTTGATATGACAACCAGCGAGCCCTCTTTGGCCAGCGAGATTTACTCGGTAGGAAAAAGCAAGGGCATTGCTACTCTGGATGCTCCTGGTAATCCAACAATCCAGTGTGTAATCTGTAGTGTCTGGAGGAGATATTGGCGCTCGTGACGGCAAGCTGTCGATCATGGTTGGTGGAGACAAGAACACGTTTGAGGAAGTGATGCCTCTGTTCCAATGTATGGGAACGAACATCAAATACATGGGTGGAAGTGGCTGTGGCCAGCACACAAAGATGGTGAACCAGATATTGATCTCCACGATGATGGTACTGAATTGTTGTTTGTTTGCTTGATGCTCTAGATCGGTGTGTGTGAAGGTCTGATTTATGGATACAAAGCAGGCTTGAATCTGGAAGAAGTGATCGCAGCGGTAAATAGAGTAGAATAGGCTTTTTCACCAAGGAATGGCGTATTGGCTGGAAATCGGTCTGCATATAGGCAAAAGAATACATCAAAACGAACCCAAACCATTATTCTAAAAATTGTTTGATTACCAGGGAAAACTCAACGAGACCTTGAGAAACCACAGAAATCGTTTTCCTTCATTTGATTTTCGTTCGAAAGAATCGTAAATAGAACTGGAATCTTGTTTAGCATAATAGAAACGGAATTTTTACAATGGAAGGAAATGAAAAGTGGTATGATGAAATTGAGAAGTTTGGAGACGGAATTTGGGAAAACAAGGACGATGTGATTTTCCGATGCCGTAAGAAGGTGTGATATTGGTGCTTTCGCATAATTGCATAGGGAAAGGAACTACTCGAAGAAGAAAGTGCGAAGGCACGTAAAATTCAGAGGTAGATACATTTGCATAGCTTAAATAGTAGAGAGAGCGATGTTGGTGATGCAAAGTGGCTACGCAATATGCTGACGTCAGGTACCTTGACGGATAAAATAGGTGCGATGTCGTCTCTTGTGCAAAATGACCCGGTGCATAATATTGATATTGTCGATGATTTGTTTGCCATGGCGAACAAGAAGGGAAAACGTGAAGCTCAGTTGGCAATCCAGTCTCTCCGCGAGTTGTTCATCCTGTTTTTGCTCCCCGACCGTCCTCTGCGCTTCATTTCTCAGCAACCCTTGGAAAACGAAGAAGTTAACGACCACATTTTAGTTTTGTTCTACTACGAGCATCTCCTCAAGCAGAAATATGTGCAGGTCTCTTTTTTTTCTTTCCCTCACTCCTCAGTTCATCGAGATTCTCAAGAAATACAGTTTCGATATGCAGCAATTCTTCAAGAAGATCGCAGATACCTCCATTTACATCTGCCTCGTCTCAAAACCCGAACAAGAATCCGCACTACTCTCCATGCTCGTCGAGAAACTCGGCGATCCTGACGTTACCGTGCCTTTTTAGCCTCTTTTTTAATCAACAGGTGAGTTCCCACGCCGTGTATTTGCTGCTGAAGCTGGTTCGCGAGCACCCTGCCATGCGTGATGTTGTGTCCAAAGAAGTCCGGCAGTTGTTGTCACGCTCTGAAATGCCGATCCGAGGCATCTACTATGGCGTGTCGTTCCTGAATCAGATCGAGTTTACTTCGAAGGACAGCAATCTGGCGGGGTCGTTGATCATGTTTTACTTCTCGCTATTTAAGAAGTACACGGTGCTGACGCTGGACGAATTGAAGGCCAAAGACAAGAAGAAAGGGAAGAACGCAAAGAAGGGAAAGAAAGGAAAGAAGGGAAAGAAGGGAGCGGAGAGCGAAAAGCTCGAAGGCACCATGGAAACTCGCTTGAAGCTCATCTCCGCGCTGCTCACTGGCATCAACCGCGCGCTTCCCTTCGGTCAAGGTACCTTTCCATGCTTTTGCTTCTGATTCGCAGTGAAGGAAGACGTTCTGAACGATCAGATCGACTCGCTCTATCGAATCGTTCATTGCAACAACTGGACCTGCTCGGTGCAGGCGCTTCTCTTGCTCTTCACGATCGTGTCGGCACATCGTTTGGTTGGACGGGGCGTTTCATCGTAGGGGAGTTCGCACCGCGGTTCTATCGCGTTTTGTACGCGTCGCTGCTGGCCCCGGAGTTCCGTCGCAGTTCGAAGAATAATTTGTATTTGAATCTGCTGTATCGCGTGTTGAAGACGTGCAAGAATCGGCGGATTGTGATGGCGTTGCTGAAGCGAGTGCTGCAGTGCGCGCTGATGATGCCTGCGAATATGGCGTGCGGATTGCTGTATATGGTGTCGACGGTGCTGAGCGAGCGGAAGGAACTGAAGGTGAACGCGGAGCTGAAGAAGCTGATGGAAGAGCACGCGTTGGATCTGGGTATGGAAGAAGAGAAGGAAAAGGGAGAAGTGGAGAACGAGAAGGAGAAGGAAAAGGAAAAGGAAGAGAAGGAGAGCGAGAAGGAAGAGAAGAAGAGCGAGAAAGTGGAAGAAGAAGAAGAAGAAGAAGAAAGTAGCGAGAAAGAGGAAGAAAGTGAGAAGGAGGATAATGATGATGATGATGATGATGATGATGAAAGTGAAGAAGAACAAAAGGAAGAAAGCAAGGCGATGGAGGAAGAAGAAGGCGAGGATGAAGTGGCCGATTTGGATGAAGCGTTCTTCCAAGACTCGGACGAACAATCAGCAAACGAAAACGAAAACGAAAACGAAAAGGAATCTGATGAAGAAGAAAAGAAAGAGAGTTCCGATGATGAAAGCGATGCTGAAAAGCCCCATCAACCAAACCAACCCAAATCCGCCTCCGCTTCTTCCTCGCTTCCCCCCGTTGTCTACGACATCCACGCTCGCGATCCCATCTTCTCGAACGCCGATCGCACCTTCCTCTTCGAGCTCTCTCTGCTCGCTCACCACTACCATCCCACTGTGGCTCACTTCGCCAATCAGCTCCTCGAAGGGTCGCGCGTTTCCTGCTCCGGAGACCCGCTCATCGACTTCTCCAACAAGGCCTTCCTCGACAAGTTTGCCTACAAACATCCCAAGCAGAAGGACCTGGACAATGCTCGCGATCGCGGCAGCGAAGCCATGCAATCGCACAAGAAGGCGAAGAGTCTCACGCAGCCGCCTGTGAACTCCGAGGCGTTTTTGAACCAGAAGGAAGAAGACGTGGCGATCGAAGACCAGTTCTTTTACAAGTTCTTCAAGGAGCGCGCCAAGCGGACGGGAGACAAGAAGAAGAAGTCGAAGAAGGACGCGGAGGGAATGTCGGAGGAGGAGGAAGAGGAAATCGACGCGTTCGCGAATCAGCTGGCGACGGATTTGATTAATGAACATATGGGCGATGAAGCGGACGACTTTTTGAATGAGTTTGAAGAAGAAGAGAATGGACGATTCTTGGAGGAAGGTAGGAATGATGGAGTGGGTTGAGGGTAGGAGAAGACGTGGATGATGATGATGATGATGATGATGATGAGGGTGAGGGTGATGAGATGGATGATGATGACGAGCTTGATAATGGAGGCATGTTCGTGAACGAGGGCGATGAGCAGAAGAAGAAGAACAAGGGGAAGGGACAGAAAAAGATGAAGTCGATTTATGCCTCTGCGGAAGAGTTTGAGAACATGCTGGAAGCCACTGCAGAGGAGAGGAAGAAGAAGTGGGAAGAGAAGAAGAAAGGAAGAGGGCAGAAGAGGGGAAGAAAAGGAAAGTCGTTCGATAATAAGAGGAGAAGAAAGTAAGTAGATTGTTCTTTTTCATTGTTTGTTGGTCAGCGCTATGAATGTAGTAATTATTATTATACATTCGGTAATGTGAACAAGCCGAAAATCGAAATCACATGTCGTTCCATGCTTTCGTGTCTAGTCATTTGATTTTTAAAACCTTATGTGCCGAAGAAGCAGAATATATGGATTATGTGAAACAGACTGCCAATAGCCTTTTTTTAAAGAAACGCAGTAAAAACTGTATAGACTTTGGAAATGAGTTCTGGATGTGATATTAATCTTCCTAACTTATGAATAGCACCATTGAACCAACTGAATGGAGCGGAGTATCTTCTTGATAGATATGTTACAATTGGAGAGCCCGAGAGTATGATAATGAAAGGAATCAAATACACTGTCCAGAGATTCCAGGGAAAACACAGAAACGAATTTCTTCTGCGGTATCCAACAGGCGATGTTTTCTTGTATGAAAATAACGTACTAAAACAAAAATGGAAGGAGGACGAGAATGGGAAGAAATCGGAGGAGTTTATCGCCTACAAAAATGGCCGAGTGGATTTCAGTCAACGATTCCGAGATATTATTGAGCAATCCTATTTTTATCGTGTCATCAACCATCCGAAAGATCTTCGAATGGAAATCTGGTCAGTCCAAACGGGGCATTTGCTGTATCACGGAGGGTACAACGAAAAACGAATGAAGGAAGGCTGGGGCATCGAATACGATGAAGAAAGCGGAAATGTGGTTGTAGAAGGGATGTGGAGCAAAGGAGTATTGAAAGAAGTGATTCGATGTTTCAATGGAGATACGATGACCGAATTGAAGCGAAACGGAGAAGATAGTTTGGATCCAACGAAACGAATTCCGATCTATGTGGGTGGATTTCGCTATGATGAAGACAATGAAACGTTTATTCGTGAAGGGAAAGGATGTTTGATTGATGAAGAGACTGGAATCGCAACTCGAGAATGTGAATGGAAAGATGGAAAGGAAGTAAGGGGTGTGGATTTGTTTGATGGATGGTACAACCAGCAAGCTCAACCACCGCTGAAAGAACTCAATAAGCCTGAAATGTTGTTAGTTCGAAAGCATGTAATCATAAATGAGTCAGCTGAACTGAGAAATCTCAGTTTGAGAGTGACAGATTTACAGATCGCATCGAATTGCTGTAACGATGTGAATATTTTGGATATGAAGAAATTTAAATGGCTGCAATCTATCGAAATCGGGAATGAATGTTGTAGGAAAGTACAGTTATTCAAAATTGACGGACTGAAAAAGTTAAGAAGCTTGAAAATCGGTAATCACTCCTTTACTCAAGTCGAGAAAACAGATGGAGATTTGCATGGGATGATACAAGTTGCTAGTAAGTATGACGTATCAAAATCATTCCACATTTTAAATTGTGAATCTCTAGAATCGATTGAAATTGGAGTGTGGAGTTTCTGTGATTTTGGAGGAGACTTTGAACTGAAGCAATTGAATTCACTACAATCTCTTCAAATCGGATGGAATGCATATTGGTCGAATAACTTCCTTTATGGGTCATTTGTGATTCAAGGTAACATGCCGAAGATGGTATCTGAATGACTAGATCTTCCAAATCTGCAATCCATTCAAATAGGTTGTGGAGCATTTGCTCAGTCCTTATCTATAAAGCTCGAGAGTATCAAGTTGAATCTTAAAATGAAATATTTAGATCTTCCCTCGTTACAATCCATTGAACTTGGTCGAGGTACACTCTTCGGAAGAGAAAACGATCCGTCGTGTACCTTGACAATGCGAAGTGCGAGTCACATATACAGGAAGCTATGTTATAGATCTTCCAAATTTATCAAGAATTAGTTCTTTACAAGGTAGTTTCTTTGGTTGTTTTTCAGTAGTATTAGAAAGTAGTTGACCATTATGATTGTTCATTTGATTAGATATTCCAAATTTGCGGAGTGTGATGTTACCGAATGCATTCTATTTTACAAAATGGAAATCCGTAATTAGTATATACATTATTATTTGTGTGTTTATTTTGTATAGATGTATCTCCCATGTTGGCTAATCTTATCAGAGTGGATAAATAACTCTCTTTCCTATCGATGCTATCATTTTTGAATGCAGTCCATTTTGTTTTATTTGTATCTTTGTTTAAGAAATGGTAATTCTCATTGATATTCTCAATTTCGCACAAAACAGTGAATCAAAAGACAAATCGAATGGATGTATCTTTCCTATGAAAAGCCGCCGATTCGACAGGTTTGTTCCTATGATCATCCGACAGGGAAGGTCTTGATGAATGGAAACTTGGCTTAGTGAACAAAAAATGGGATTGTCGACGGAACGGTACAGGCAGAAGAGTTTGTACGCCACGTTCCATTAGCCATACTGGATACAAATCTCGAGCAATGCGCTTGTGATTCGCGCTAAGTTTCGCAAATGCAATTGAAACCGGAAAAGAGCGTAGCTTTGTGCGGCTCCAATTGAATGATGTATGTTCGGAACAAAATGAATGCTAAAGTAAAATCGTTTCCAGGGTCACTTGAATACAGATGCGACAGCACAGGCTTCGTAGGTTTTTTATTTTTTGCGATTGCTTCGTCTCGTGGCCGGATCGAAACAAACTCCTAGTTCTGATAAACAATTATCAAAATTCGTTCCCAAGAATTGCGTCGTCGCTCTTCATTGCTCACGCCGTACGCTTCGAGACTCGTCAGCATGCAGATATACATTAATATGTATTGGATTGAAATCACCGCTTCTTGAATATTCATGGACGCCCCTGGCACTATTTCCACATTCATAGGATCGCAAAGATTCTTCATGAAGCGAAATTCGATTCATTTGGACTTCAAGCTTACTAATAGTAATATTGGGTTCTTACATACACTTCAATATTATGCTATTAAGAGTTGATCGAATCTATAGGGAAATATGTGGGTAAAGGTCAAATTCTTTCTCCATATAATGAAAATCGCATATGTATTGAATCAGGTAGTTCTATGTTGCATATATATAACCTAAAACAGAACGAAAAGCAATTCTACACACAATCAATAAAACTTGAATAACTCGAAACTACTAACTTGTAAAAAACAAAATAACGTCACACCCGTTTTTAAAATTTCAAAAGAAAATCATTATAAACAAGAAATGACCCTCCGAGAATAGTGACCTCCTGGATTTTCCAAATATTTCGTTATTCTATATATGGAGGCAAGCGCAAAAAGAAAAATTAAAAAATAAGCACATCTGCAGACAAAGCAAGCTCTATTCGTTTTACTCCATAAAAACTATCGGATTGCGATGATAATCACGGAATTTGTAACGGCTTGAATGTCTACGGTGATTTCTGGACAATTCAGGAATGGAACCTATGCAAATTAAATCACTAGACACCTTACAAAATGATGAAGATTACAATATTCTCATATAAAAGGAGAACCAGAAAAATCCAGAATGATGCCCTGCTTTTCGTGGATTATATAATCAAGGACAATCGCATATACCTTAAAGTTAATTATTATACTAGAAGTCCCTATTCGGTAAAAAGAAGGGAAGAAAAGGGTTACCTCAGATTTTTAAATATGAAACTTGCTCTCTACGAAATAATGAGTGGAAAATCAAAAAAAAGTCCGCACACTTCGTAATAAACTGAGTAACAAGCAGAATAACACACAATCGTTTATTTCAAATGATTATTTCGATCACTGATGGAATAAATACGCGTACATACAATACTAAACCCAGTTCGAGGATAATTGACATAAAATCCCAAATTTGTGTAGGGTTTTTTTTGGAGTTGGCTGATGCATAGAATGATTATAATATAGCTCCTAATGAGTGTTACATTGTTTATCAAACCAAAATAGTCGATCCTTTTCAATCCATTGGTTCTTTTTGGAAAGCGGAAGAATCATTACGTATTTGCAAACAATTTACATACCACATTGTTTGGAACAATAAAAGCAATGAATTCGTGCTTTATACCAACATCAAGATGAAGCACTTATTATGCCAGGTCGCAAGTTATTATGATGTTTCAGAACATGATATTGCGAAATATAGAATATATATCAAGGAACAACTAGTTTCAGATGGTTACAATATTCCAATTGAGGGAATTGATGAGGAAATACGATTCGAATTATTACAAGGTATTTAGTGACTAACTATGTTAACATCAAAGATAAATACGATTCTTCAATTGATGAGAAGTACTATACTGGAGGGCTAAGAAAAGAAACTAGCCAAAGAGATAATCAGACTATAAGTTGATGTTTTCTCTTTTTTTTAACGTGTAGCAAATCGTACTAGCAGAATCCCCGTAGAGCATGAGGTAGCATATGAAAACAAGCATATTATTATCGTTGACAAAATAAATGACGTTACTAAGGAGTATGAATTGGATGCTAAAGTTACGATTGAAGATTACATGAAAGAACATTGGAAAGTATGCAGATTCTCATTTGCTAATGAATTTAGATGGTTACTGGAAATAGTGCGAGTCTGGGAGTAATAATGTATTGGATTGTTACCCTATCCAGTAAAAAAGAACCATTGAAGATTAGTACTTCAATTCAATCATTACTGATTGGTGATTCAGTGTCACTTGATTGTAAGAAACTTGAACTATTGCTTTAGATGTAGTATGGCTTAAATCAAATTTCCAAAAGCAAATATCAGATAAGAGAGAGAAGTCAGAAACACAACCAG